AAGTCACATTTTTGGTAAATCTTTTAAAAAAATCAGCCTTTGTGGCAAGATATAAATCCATGACACAAAGGCCTGAGTGGTTCTACCGTTCACACGTTGAACCAAATATGTGTATTAAGTCTTTGGTGACCTAGAAGGTTGCAGAAATGTTGCCTGATCGAGTATACATAGATTGACAATGACTCTATAGAATGTCAGAAAGCCACTTTCCTAGCAATAAGTGGAAATGCTGGATGTGGAGCAGCTTTCTTCTAAGGATTATTAAATAGAGCTCTTTTCTGGAGGCAGAAGATGAAGGAGTTCTGGAAAGGAAAAGGATAGGATAAGGTAGCATGAAGACTTTATATAAGGGAATGGCCTTTCTAAATGACTTGTGAATCTCTTAGGGTTATATTTGGCCTTTAAGTCACTATGCTTAAATTGGATGAAATGATGCAATTCAGAAAGACTACAGTTCCTCTGTGCTTTAAAAAAAGAAATTAAAAAACTGATCAATTTAGATCTACATAGCAATATCCTCCACAAATCTGGATTTCAGGCCATCAGGAATATCACTGAGCACCCTTTGCCAACAGACTGCTCTGTACTCACCTTTGGCAGTACCTATACTTATAAATCCGTGGTGAAATCATGCATGCCTCTACAGTATGCAAAAATCTTCATGGTTGAATTAGAACATTGCTTTTTAAACTCTTATCCCCTGAAGCCATTCCTTGATATGAGATTTACTTATGACATTTTCATTGTCTGACACATAGAAATGCATCTTTCATCAGATTTCATCATAACAATAACAATAGCACTTAGACTTATATACCACTTCATAGTGCTTTACAGCCCTCTCTAAGTGTATTACAGAGTCAGAATATTGTTCCCAACAATCTGGGTCCTCATTTTACCGACCTCGGAAGGATGGAAGGCTGAGTCAACCTTGAGCCTGGTGAGATTCGATCTGCCAAACTGCTGGCAACCAGTGATCAGCAGAAGTAGCCTGCAGTACTGCACTCTAACCACTGCGCCAGTGCGGCTCAATCATGACTTCAGTAACTTACGTTTCACCATCAACTTTATCTTCAATCTATCTACATAATAAGTTTGTTTGATTTCAAGATAAAACTATATAATGGATGCACAATAGTAATAGCACTTAAACTTATATACTGCTTCACAGTGCTTTGCAGCAGTCTCTACTGCACCACCACAGCTTCTAAACTTGATAAATTTGATCTTATTCAGGAAACCTATAAATTGCCATATATGATTACATACTTTCAAAACATGGCACCAAATCTGTCATCTATAGAAACACTCTTTGCTATAGCGGCAAGGTTCCGACCCATTTAACGAAGATATTAAATCAATAGAATTAAACCAGGTATTCAAGAGACTGAACTTACCCCCAAACAAGATCAGTAGATAAATCAATAGAACCAAATTTATTCTCAGAGAAGACTTATGATAAGATAGGCAATAAAAACAGATCACCAGAATACCATTAGTTGTCATTCAAGTACATTACATTACATTACATTAATACAGTTTATAGAGAACAACAACATTGCACTTTCTCAGGCCCTGAGAGGCAGACCCATACCTGCATGCAGAAAACTCCAACCTGAAGCAGATTACAAACAACAACAGGACATTGAAAGCTAATATGGGAACCAGACATAAAAACAAGGATCTTTTTCTATATTTACACAAACAACATCATTATACCACCTGGGGTGAAATCCAGCAGATTCTGACAGGTTCTGGAGAACCGGTAGTGGAAATTTTAAGTAGTTCGGAGAACCTGTAGCGGAAATTCTGAGTAGTTCAGAGAATCGGCAAATACCACCTCTGGCTGGCCCAGAATGGGATGGGAATGGAGATTTTGCAATATCCTTCCCCCAGGAGCGGGGAGGGAATGGGGATTTTGCAGTATTCTTCCCCTGCCACGCCCACCAAGCCACGCCCACAGAACTCGTAGTAAAAAAATTTGGATTTCAGCACTGATACCACCCCAACAATATTAGTGGTATCTTCACATGCTTTTCTTCTAACATGACATATGCCATCATATGGATTCTATTTTTGAAGTCCAAACTTTGGCAATTTTTGGGAAAAGACTTAATGGGCATACGTTTGTCATCAGAACTCAAAAGAAGAACAAAATATTATTAGAATATTTCAACTTTCCAGGGTACTCCATTACAGTTCTCTACAAGTGGCCATTGCATGAATAGCAAGGGGGGGGGCTTTAACAGCATAATTGATAGACTGCTGTATTGATAAAAAGGTTTCAGGCTATTTCCGAAATTCTCAACAAACACAATGGATTTTTACTGATTATATTTGTTGATTGTTAAGCTACCCTGTTTCCACAAAAATAAGACATCCCCTGATAATAAGCCCAATTGGGCTTTTGAGTGCATATGCTATAAAATAAGCCTCCCCCTAAAAATAAGCCCTCCCTGAAAATATTTAAACACAAAGCTGGAAATCAGGTAAAAGGGCAAGAAGAGCCCCGTCTTGCTCCAAGCACCCCAAAATAATAAGACCTCCCCGAAAATAAGGCCAAGTGCTTATTTCGGGGTTCAAAAAAATATAAGACAGGGTCTTATTTCGGGGTTCAAAAAATATAAGACAGGGTCTTATTTTCGGGGAAACACGATATATCGTATCTATTTCATATTTAATCCACACCTACATATCACCTGTCTTTTCCCTTTCCTGATCTCATCTCATCTTAAATTAAATCTAATATCATTTGATGATGTTATATCTGATGAAGGTAGTTACGGGTCATGAAAGCTTACACTTTTTAATAAAATTTATTAGACTAAAAAGATATTACCAGACTCTCTGATTTTTGAGTACCATTTGCTTCTTTTATTAACCAATCAAGCACTTCCACTTTTAGTCACACCTTAGATTGGTATATCCGTGCTTAAAAAGAAGACACTGATGTTGTATATCATTAAATTCTGGGGTTATATGTCAAAGCCCTGCTTGCTGGGTCAGGATTAAAGACAACCTACAGTCAAATTAATTAATGCTACTATGTATTCAACAATACTTTTCAAGTGGAGATGGATTTTTTAAAAATGTCAAGCAGGAATATGTTATTTTTTTCAGGTGCAAGTAACCAGGAAAAGGACTTTCGTTCAAAGCACTTCAAGTTTATTACATGTTACTAATACACAAGAATCTGATCTGTCTACTGCATTCCCACTCATGCCAGTAATACTGTTAAATTTGCAGATGACACAACAGTGGTGGGATTCATCTTTGGGGGGAATGAGTCTGCCTATTGAGATGAGGTGGACCAGTTGCTTTTGTGGTGTGGAGATAAGAATTTGGTCCTCAACACCAATAAGACTAAGGAGCTTATAATGGACTACAGAAGGAATAGATCAGAGGTGGGTTTCAGAAGGTTCTGACCAGTTTTAGAACCGGTAGCGGAAATTTTGAGTTGTTCGGAGAACCGGTAGTAAAAATTCTGATTGGCCCCAATCCTATCTATTCTCTGCCTCCCAAGTCCCAGCTGATCAGGAGGAAATGGGGATTTTGCAGTATCCTTCCCCTGGAGATGGGTGGGAATGGGGATTTTACAGTATCCTTCCCATGCCACGCGTACCAAGCCATGCCATGCCCACCAAGCCACACCCACAGAACTGGTAGTAAAAATTTTCGAAACCCACCACTGGAATAGATCAGACATCTAACCCTTGGTTATCAATGAAGACCAAGTGAGCCAGTTTTAAGTTTTTGGGTGTAATCATAAAAGAGAACATGACCTCGGGTGCTCACATTGCAGCACTGATCAAAAGGGCCCAGCAGAGATTATACTACCTGAGACTTCTTAGGAAACAACAACTGAATGAAAAACTGCTGGTGACCTTCTACCGCTTCACTATAGAGAATATTTTAATTTACTGCACCTGTGTATGGTTTGCTAATTGCACAGTGCCAGATAGGACAGCGCTCCAGAAGGTTAATATCATTGCCCAGAGGATCATTGGTTGCCCTCTCCCCTCTTTGGAAGAGCTTTATAGCTCCCGCTGCCTTAAGAAAGTTCAAAACATTCTTAAAGATCCATCTCATGCTGGGCACCCTTTTTTTGAACTATTACCATCTGGCAGACAGTACAGGGCAATAAAAACAAGGACAAATAGGCTGAAAAACAGCTTCTATCCCAGAGCAGTAACTATATTGAATTCTACTGTATAGTGTAATATTAATACAGTATCAGGGGTTTTCAATTCAATTGTATAGAATGTGAGGGATGGTGTTTTTGTTTTATTTTTTATAATTTCATTGTACGAGGTGCAATGATAACAAAGTAAACTAAACAATTAACAATCAAGGCAAATTGGCACTAGATAAAAGTCAAGGGAATTCATGGGGGTGGGGCTGGACTTAGGTCTTTTGTGGGAATTTATCAACTCTAAACTGATGATGCATTTGACCCCACCTTCCGGCTCTGCCTGGTCACGTCCTACAATTTTCAGTTTAAAATGGAATTCTTTCCAATTTTCTAGAGCCTGCTGTTTGAAAAAATAATAATGATCATTGTAGACTGCAGACCAAACACTCATTATTCCCTGAAAAAGCGAAAATGAGTTTGTTTACAAAACTAAAAATCCTGTTCTGAAATGGCCGTTACTAGCAAGGATGAAGAACAACAACAAAAAAGGTTTGACACACTTTTAACGCCAGAGGGCAGCATTGCACCACAATTCAATTTGTTCATGTATTCATGTAATCCTGTTGCTGAAATGTAGGAAAATGACTCGGCTTTCTCTCCTCATCCGTTCCTTCAAAGGGAAATCATTGACCAGGATAAAGAGAATGAAAAAAAAAGCTTTGCTACATGGAGCAAGCTTAATATATGATACATTGGTTTTATCATTAAATAATAGAATACTCCAGGGCATGCTATAGAGGTGCATAAGGTGCTCTCTTAGAGGGAACTATTGTTACAGATTCAGGTTTTTAGTCAAGATTTCCTGCTGTCTGTTTTGATTCCTTCCTGTCTGTTTGTAGAAACCAGACAGCTGGGCTGGTTTCCATAACATGTTTAAACTGCTAAAATAAACATGACTTGTGCTCCTAATTTATTTTTAACAGTTGCAGCAAGTGCTGTCTTACTGATTGTCAAGACGTGCTAGAGAAATAGGGCAGGGCTGTGAAGAATTACTCAACTTTGTCTCATTTTATGCCAAACTCCGTGGTAGTCCTCCAAGTCTCGTTTGTCAACGATGGTCTTCAAGGAGAATCCAGACATGTAAATGCTTTCATTTTTAATATTTTCCTCCTGTGTCTTTGAAACATCTTAAAAGCCTGAAAAAGAGTCAATGTAAGTATTGTTGGTCAATTTGTACTAGGCTTCTTTTCAAGGAATTTACTTCTTGTTGTACAACATTGCTAGTATGGACTGTGCAAACTTTATTGCATTAAAAAACAATGAATTTGCCTTTAGAGCAATTCCTTGAAGTGGATTACAACTGATTCTCTTTCATAGGAAAAAGTAAAGATGAGCTATACTAATTAGGTCTCCAAAACCACCATATATATGTCTCATGAAGACACACACTGATTAAAGTCCTGATTTTGGATTTCTACTGTATATGCTATTGTGTTTGCATATAGGCATAATCTGGCAAGCAAAAATCCTTAAGGTGTTCGGAAATTTAGTTTAAACTGGGAATGCTAAAAACAATACTAGACCCAAAACCGATACTGTATGTCTATTCTATTTAGTTGTGCATAATGGGATATAATTTGTGCATAATTGTGGCAGCCAAGATAGGAAAGTAAAAGCTCTGGGCTTTTAGATGCAGTTAAACTGCAATCCAATCTAACACTGGCCAAGACTGCTGGGAATTGTAGTTCAGGCACATTCCTTCCTCCATCTATATCAGTGAAGCAAATATTCAGATTCAAATATTACAAGCAAACAAGTTTACATCAGATAAAGGACTTATGACATTTAACTTGGACACTTTAAAAATAACTTTATACGGTAGAAATAAATCTTAATGACACTTCAGATTGCTTACACGCAGTGGTGAGATTGATGCAAGCTGTAGTGTTGCCTCTGTCCATTCTTAATTAGAAATAGTGTTAGAAATTTCTATGTTAGGAACTGTTTTAATTATAAATCATTAAAACTGGGAAAGAGACTGAATTCTCTTCTGCTTTCTGTATATGCAGTGTTGGTATTGCCAGGTGTTCCAACAAGCAGATGCAAATTCTATTCATAAGATTTGTATCAGAAGTGCATCATTTGTTTCTTGACTGGCAGAATATACGGTAGTTAATTTTTAAGTACAAAGTTAAAGTACAAAGTACAAAGTAGGAAACTCTGAGACTTGCTTAAAATATTTTTCACTGTCTCTGATTTTCTGTTCTGTCAACGGCAGAAAATCTTTTTTTGCAGAAAAAAAAAAATGGTCAGAATCAATACCTAGCAACTTGTAATCAGACCAGAAACCAGATTTAAAGATTTCCTAAATAGAGCCAATTAAAAACAGGAACTGAAAAGTACTAGGAACTGTGGCCTCCCAAAGTCTCAATTCTGATGGGATCATAATCCTCTAAATTATTAAACAAATTTACTTGTTCTAAAAGTCCAAAAATTAAACTATAATTAATAATGTATTAAATATTTGAGACCAATAGTATCAATGAAAATCAAATAATATATCAACAATTTGTGGGGAATTTAGCACCAAAAATATTTTGAACTAATGCCTTATAATTATATATTAAAGGGAAGAGATATTGACAAAAATAACTCAAAACAAAGGGCCTCACTGAAATGATCATCATCAGTAGACATGACAATTCAAATACTAGAATGATTGATTACTGAATATCTGAAGAAAGAGTATCTCTTTCACTTTAACATCAGAAAATATTCTCCTTCTCTTGCTGTGTTGCTAATGCATCTATCTATTCATCTACCTATCTGTCTGTCTGTCTGTCTGTCCATCCATCCACCCACCCACACACCCACCCACCCACCCACCCACCCACCTACCTACCTACCTACCTACCTACCTACCTACCTACCTACCTACCTACCTAACCTACCTATTACCTACCCATCCATCTATCTCCCCACCCACCCATGCACACTTCCATTTCTATGGCTCTTGCCTGTTAAAACAGCGCCTGCTTTATACCATACTTAGAAAATGGGATATATTAAGAGAGCTCATGGAGGATGGGAATGCTTGCCAAATCTCACATACGTTTTGGAAGAATCTTGCTTGACCTCTCTAATGCTTTTGCTAAGCTGGAATGGAGCCTCTCTCTACAGCTGGAGGACATCTTTATATAAGTGCTTCTGGCAATTCCTTTTGTCATTTATCCAATAAACTAAAGCTCTCCCACTTCCTCCAATAATCACTTTTAATGCCAAATATTATCACAACAGAGTAAACTCTAACAAAGTAAACGAGGCTTCAGCCAAGAAGTATATTTTGCCAAGAAGGGTCAGAATCTAGCTTAAATATGATTGATTCTAATATTGCTTCTAATGAATGGGCAAGCTAGAAAACTGGACCCTCAGAGCTTGTCTGCCAGTTCTGCATGCCAGAGTCAAGGTGCCAACTCAGACATTCAAATCAATATCTTCTTGAAGAAGAGATGATTATCTTAGCACATAGCAAAAATAGATTTCCCAAACTCCTCCTTTTACAGCTGGAAGAGATTTTGTTGCCCAGAACTCTGGAAGAAAAGAAGCAGAAAGATTTGTGCCATGGTTGGCGGACAGAATGAGAAAGCTTCATTAAAGTACCTTTGTTTAAAGTAAAACTTCCAAGCAAAAGGAATTCCTGGATAACAGTGAAGTTTAAGAGAGAATTTGGTTCAAGACTTGATTGCTTTCTAGATGAAGAAGACAAAGTAATGGGCACTTCAGTTTTGACTATTCATATTTCTCTTTAAAGTTTATTATCTCTATTTGTTTTTTTGAACATGCTCAGTAAATTTTGTGTGCAACTGGAATCTCTTTATCTTAGTGTTGTCTCTAACTGGAAGACGACTATTATTACATGGTCTGCTAGAACTTTATATTTTCCTTTAAAGTTTGTTCTTATTGGATATTTTTTAAAAATGATGCAGTCTGTAATTTAGCAGCTCCGTATTTTTATATTATCCTGTTTTAAATGTGACTGCAAATATGTTCTCCCCTTTTTCTTTTTAAAAATAAAGCTTGATTCTATTCATACACATGAGATTGCTCCATCTCTCAAAGGGGGAGTGGACTTGATCTTCATTTTCATGTGCCTAGTGCACCTAGTACACCGGCTCAGAGATGGTGCTACATAATTTTTCCCTTCCATTTCCCCCCCCTCCTTGTATTTGGTAGTTTACATAGTTTGTGTGATTCTTCCTTCCTGCCACAACCTGAGAGAATAGCCTGCTTTCCTACCACTTGTGGAACCCTGTTATGGTAGAATCTTTGAAATACTCTGGGAAAGATTCTTCTGGAAGATAGATATGGTGGCAGAGATTCAGGATAATATCTCTCTGGAAAACAGATAGTAGTAGCAGTAATTCATGAGTTGCTAGGTAGGGTTGCCAGGTCTGCTTCCAAAAAATAGCGGACAAGCGGGGGGGGGGGTTAAGTAGTAAAAAAATTAAAAAAATTTTTACAATTAAATTATATATTTTCTTACAAACATTTTAACACGTATTAAAATAATCACTTCAAAACTTTACTTAAAATTCAAAACATCAAATATATTATAATAATACATAAAATATTAAATTACATTTTACTTTGCTGTCGTGTGTATTTTTTATTTGACTGCGCAGCTTTGATCAATTCTTTGTGTTTAAGGAATAATTCTTTAATTTCAGTACAACGTTGAGAAATATTAAAAAATATACAAAGTTCACTTCGAACTTTGGTACAAGCAGTCGGTTACGTTCGTCAGTTCACAGATTTCCCATGATGCTGAAAATTCGTTCAACGTTTGCATTTGATACCGGAATTGATGCACAATACTGGAACAGTTTCAGTAAACTCGGAGCTGGCTCTTTCTTGAAAAAGTACGTCCACTTATCAAGGGATGAATCACCCTGCAGATGAACATAAACTTCTTCTAAGGCAGAAATTTCATCGAAGAGAGTGTTGGGTGGAAGTTCTTCTCGCCATGGTGATAATAACCAGATGTTCGTCATTTCTTCTAAAGTTGGACGATTATTGCGATCAATTAGATTGAAACAACTTAGCATCTCATATACTGAATCAGTGAAATTATACCACTTTTCTAGGTACGCAATGGCTCTTTGATACACATTGATGGCTTCTTTCTTGAACTTTTGCACGGCATCCTCAGGCAAATTTTTTTACGTAAGGTAAATAAAACTTTCATTCCAAAAAACTGCTCATTGTATTTTTTTTGCAAAGAATCATGTAGCTTACACATGATAATGTGAAGATCACATGCAAGAATTTCCTTGCTTTCCAGCTTCAGTAGGGTGTCTTGCATTATTGACATGAAGAAGTGCATGAAATATAAATACAATTCTGAAATTGTTGGTTCATCGTCCTTTGTGAGTTCATTTTCCTGATCCGAAATAAGGTTCCAGATAACCTTATGGCACTCATCAGATCCAAGAGAAATAAAATACGATTTTAGAAGTATCCAGTTTAAAAGAAGTCTTTTGACCGCTTTAAACAAACTTAACCAACATGTTGGAACATGGCGCAAAACTTCATGGAATTCTGACTCACAAAACTTACGTACCATTTCATCATAAAGCTTTTGAATAAAAAAAATGTCCACTATTTTGTGAAAAAAAATAGTGAACATAATGTGAAAAAAGTGGATTGTCCAAATAGTGGACACCTGGCAACCCTATAATGCTAGGCCAAGATAGGACCTGTGCTAAAGTGAAAAAGCAAAGGGCTTTTGAGAGAAGATTTTTTATTTATTTTTATTCATAAGCTCAAAGCAATATATACAGACTTCGTTTTCCTGTTTTTCTTCATCTTAACAACCCTGTGAGCCAGGCTTTGTTGACAGAGTACCGCAAGGTTATTAAATGTGCTGTGCTGAGGATAAACCTGGGTCAGATAGAGAAAGGCGGTATTTAGCTGTACCTCACATCATCAGATACAGGAGTGGTTGAACTGTTGCAACTGAATTGGGGCAGGGTTATGCAGATACAAGTTATACGTGAAACATTGTCTTATCAGTTAACAATTGCAATATATTTAGAGATGTTCTAAGATAACCTGAAACCTTTTGATGTATGTAAGTTCACAACTGTTCATTAACAATGGCTTTAAAGTTCCATTCTTTGAAACAGTCACTTTGAAGTCTGCCATAGAATGTTGAAATGCTTTGATAATACTTTGACCATGTTTGTGCCCTGAATGTCAGATTTATGTCCATTAATTTATTTTATGCAAAGTTTGTCCCGTTTGTCCTGCATAAAATCTGAAGGAGCATTGTTGGTGGATGATGGCATATATTACCTTAGAGGAAGAAGGTAAGTTCCTAAGAAAACTCAACTTCCTAGCCAAACTATGTGACAACACTGTTTGAGGCACTATATACAAGTATCTTCCTCCAACATGGAGGTCAAGTCATCCTGGAAGTGATACTGAAATCAACTAATCTGATCTTCACCCAGCAGGGCAAACCCAGTGCAGAGTTAAGATCACAATCAGAAAAGCAGCCTGACATTCTACACCCAAATATAATACAGGACATAATAAATCAGATTATCTTCTAGTAATGAATGTCTTTTGAATACAAACCTTTCTTAACAGGGCTGCTTCTTCAGTTACTCTTCTGATCCAGCTGATTCCAGATATATAAAATTGCAATATGCTACAATAAGTCTATACCTATTATAAATGATAGGTGTCATACTGTGAATGGGTTCTTATAGAAATGGACGTATATATTGGCTTGCAAGAAGGTATCTGACACAGAGAAACAAAGATGGTAGATACTTTTATGGATTTTTAAAAATTATATATAATGCAACTATTGACAACAAGATTCTAACTTTTACCTGGTGCCAGTCTTCCTCCTAAATCTATCAGAAATTATTCCCATCTAACTCTTCTCCTGTTTCATTTGCTGCCCTTTCACACCATCTCCTCTCCCAGTTTCTGGGCTAATGAAAAGAGAGTAAAGACAACGGAATATGCTGGATTTATGATTAGTATGTTCAGCACTGTTCATTTTCTTTTTTGAATCTGTTCAGCCAAACCATCTTTTCTTTCACTAGGGAAAGAACCTCTCTTGTGGTCTTCCACTCAGTCTTTCCACAGAGACTAGGGGAGAGATGGCGAACCTTTTCGGCACCGAGTGCCCAAACCGGAATGCGTGCGCATGCCAGAGCACCGGAAACCCAAAGACCAGCTGGCTGGTGCGCATGTATGTGCTGGCCAGCTGGTCTTTGGGTTTCTGGTACACCAGCTGATCTTCATGCTCACCTGAGCACCCGAAGACCAGCTGGCTGGTGCGCATGTATGTGCTGGCCAGCTGGTCTTTGGGTTTCTGGTACACCAGCTGATCTTCATGCTCACCTGAGCACCAGAAACCCGAAGACCAGCTGGCTGCCAGAAACCTGAAGACCAGCCTGCATGCACACTGGCCAGCTGTTCTTCAGGTTTCTGGTGCTCAGGCGCATGCAAAGACCAGTTGGCTGGTGAGCATACGCACACCAGAAACCCGAAGAGCAGCTGGCAATGGCAAGCATGCCATAGATATGCCATCACGGGACTAGGGCTTTCCTGAAAGTAGCTGTTTCACTTACTTCTGTTTTGGGTCTTGCATGAAAATGCCATCTACTGATAGCCAATCAACTCCCTCCTTCCTGTCTTGAGTCTTGGCTGAAAAATGTTATCTCTCTGGAATTTTACTTATCTTCCTCCAGGCAAACTTCTTGTAGATTTTCTTCTTCCTCCCCAACTGGGACTGACAACTCACACAACTTCACTCTCCAATTTTTCTTTCCAGCCACTCTGTTTTACACAGTCTTTTTCTCTTTTTGTTTATTCTTCTCTTTCTTTTCCTCTTCTTCCCTCTTTCTTTCCCCCATGTCTCCAATTTTGGATCAGATTGACAACATATCTCCCCAGCAACTGAGGAGGTGAGTGTCCCCTCCAGGACTTTAATCTAGGCACCTATATACATCAGGGGTGGGTTCTACTTACTTTACTACCGATTTGCAACGCTTCACGCATGTGCAGATCACTGATGATGACATCCGGGGTGGTGGTCAGTTTTACTACCGGTTCTTGTGAACTGGTCCAAACCGGGGGCAACCCACCACTGATATACATGCTGCATGAATGGGAAAGCTCTTTACCTTTACCCACAGTAGCCTGGGCAATTAGCCATGTCAGCTTGTTAGCCCTCCTGATAGTCTGGTTGCATTTCAAGGCTAGAACTGCATTTCTTCTCTTTACTCTCTCTGTTTCCTGATTTATGTCAGCATAATGGCAGCCATGCCAGGCCACTAAAAACATATGCCGTAATAGGTATGGGCAAAGCATGTTATAATTATATATTTTATACAAAATCTTTAGTTACTCTGAATTAATTATTTTTTCCAAATCCTGGGGATTAGAAATATACACCTAAACTGCCAGAATGTTGAGATTTTTTTGGTTTCAGTGCATGTTTATCTATTATTATGGTGGTTGGTCAAAATGAATCCACAAGGTCTCTTCTCAATGGTACTGTTTGGCTGTACAATCCCCGTATTGTCTAAATAGATGCTCTGAACCAGTATATCTTAAAAACTGTCAAAGGACAACTATCAACTTAAAGCATTCAGCCAAATGTTTCAATAGGTGTAATACTTGATAGATGAATATGTAATCTTTCTCCCCTGAGTAATCAATGACAGAGGACAAGTAAGATTTTTATGAAATGTAGAAAGTCAGGCAATGATAAAATTGGTGTCAGAGAAAGAGAGTTAAGATTTATTTTGGAAAGAAATAACATACTGTGATTTCACATACTATACTATGAGTTCTGGAAAACTGATCAATTAGAATCAGTCTGAATGTTAATGATGAGAACTTAAAATCTACTGTGTATTTATTTTTATTTTATTTTTTTATTTCTAACCCATTTTCTTTTTTTTTTAAATTTTTTTTAAATTTTTATTAATTTAAGAAACCACATAATACATTTATAAATGCAAGTAAAACAATTTACAACAAACATCATCTTTATAACATCTACCTATAATATCTGAATTGTTACAATATCAATATCTTATATTCTTCAATGTACAATATTTCTCTCACCTTATATAATGATATTATTTTATTGATATCTCGTGTCTCTTTCTTAAATTTCATTTGATTTAAAACTTTATTTTACTCTATTGATATCTTTTCTTTTATTCAATTTTTCTTTCTTTCTTCTTCTCTTCTTTTTTCACTTCCCTCTAACCATTTATACCATTTTTGCCAATCTACTGTGTATTTAAATAAACAAGCCTGACATTATTTAAAACCTGTCAAACTGAATCTTGAATCTTGAATCTTCTTAAACAAGCAGCAGAATCCATTGGTCAGAAGTCCCAGAACATTCCCCACTGTCCAGTCAGAACTGAAAAAGCTACTTGGATGAAAAGTGAAATGTCTTCAAAGAAAAACCAGAAAGTGCAGTTGTCTCTTGAAAAAGCACCTTTGGGACAACCATGACCTGGATGACTGAGAATCTCCATAGGCCATTGGTCAGAAGTGAACATTTCTTAAGAAATACCTTGTTCATCTCTTTAAATTTGTAAATAAAAAAATCAATGTTTATAGTTGTTCACAGCTGTTATTATTCAGAGCTGCTGCTGCTTCATCCGGTTCCATAATTTCTTCCCTGAGTGAATCTACCAGATCAAGGATCATGCAGAAACGTAGCAACAATAAGTGTGAGTTCAAGAGAGGTTGTTTTTTCTGCATAGCTTGCATGGATAATCTCAGCTAATCAGAAAAATACTGTTTGTCCTCTCAGTCTTGAAATACTGTTAATTGGAGCATACTGAGAGATTGTACTAAAAGAATATTTTCATTGATCTTTTTTTGATGAAGGTGGAAGTGTTTGTGCGTGTGTTTGAACATACTTCAGAGCAGAAACCTGACCTCAACAATGACTTGTGAATCATGTTTCCTAACTGTTATAGATCGAAGATTTGTTTTTTTAAAAATACATTATAGTGCTAGGCAAAACATTGCAGAAACTACATCATGTCAGCAAGTGGTGTCTATAGGTCTCTCTGCTTTTCTTAGAATGTCAAAACCAATGTTGTTGTTTTTGCTGCAAGGTACAAAAGAAATGGGATTACATCACAATGCCATAATGTTTTTCTTCTCAGTCTGTCCTCCTGCACACCCTGGTGTCTACCAAGATGAAAGTATGAAAACAAACGCTGGGTTGTGTGCCAGGGACAACGCAGTAGGAAGAGACCTGAGATTAGCAACCTGAAGAAAAAAGCAGGGCAAGTGATAGACAAAGAAGGAACATAAATCTGTAACTATACTACATTTTGCGATGCTAGACTATGAATTGCTGAAATCAGTGTCATTGAAGTCACATTTCCAACATTTCTACTTTATGAATCTTTCTACTTAGTGTATTTCCTAATATGAATTGTTCAAGACTAATAGAGGTAAAGAAAGCATTCCAGGAACTGATCCCTTCACTCATATACTCTTCCTGTTCCTTTTTTTTAAAAAAAAATTGATTTATATGCCACCGTTCTCCAGAGACTCAGGGCGGCTTACAATGCGTTAAGCAATAGCCTTCATACTTTTGTATATTTTATACAAAGTCAGCTTATTGCCCCCACAATCTGGGTCCTCATTTTACCAACCTTAGAAAGGATGGAAGGCTGAGTCAGCCTTGAGCCTGGTGAGATTTGAACTTGCAGTAATTGCAGGCAGCTGATGTTAATAACAGTGCTTTAGTCTGCTCTGCCACCAGGGCTCTTATTCCTTAATGCCTTAATTCTATTTAAGGTTATAATTCAATGTATATTTCAACTCTTTCTCCTGTGTATTCTCCATTGGTCTAACTGTATATTATAGTATATATATTCTTTTTGCCTATTTTATCGTACAGTCTTTAACTTGTTCACCCTTTGGTTCCATTTAGCAATAATATGACCAACATTTGTATACAGCTCCACATCAAATTCAGTCTTACCATTTTCAAATTCATACCTTTTCTCATTAAGCTTAAATTTTTCCATTAACTAAACATAAGGAAACCAGTGACACATAAAACCTTCCAACTCCATGTTGAAACACATATTTCCATGTTATGTCACTTGCCTATTTGGACAACGTACTAGTTTGTTAGTTTGTTGAAGCTAATCCCAGCAATTTGTTAGAGGCAGGGGTGGGATTCTACCGGTTCGGACCAGGTCAGGCAAACTGGTAGGTCCAACAATCAGCTGGGAGTGAACCAGTTCGCCCCGATAATCAGATGGGGCTTCCCATTCACCTGTGCTATTTTCCTATCTTTATCTTCTCAGCTGATTCACGTGGCAGAGCAGATTGCCACACCTCCGCTGTGTTTCTCATCTGTAGAAACACAGAAGTGAAGATTTCTTCAAACTGCGCAGATGTGCACAGCTATCACCGATTGCGAAGTGTGATCACTGAACTGGTTGTTAAACCAGGATGATCCCACCACTGGTTAGAGGTTAATCCCAACACTCCATGGCCTACTTTCCTGAGAGACAATCCTCCTTCAAATAATAAATGCTTAGCAAACTTTTTAATGTATTTTAGATGTAGTGTTATCATAATTGGTGAAGTTTCATAATTGGTGAAGTTTCATAATGGTTATTCTCTCGCATTGTAAAAAGAATGCAGCTGTTTTAAAATCCAGCAAAATACGTACTTATTATGTTATTACTTTTCTTTAGCTTCTTTAGAAATCTAGTGGTGTATTGCTTCATAGTTTTCAAGTCATCTGAATGAACAGGTTTTATTTCCTTCCTTCTTTGAAGGCCCATAGATTATTTTGGGCTATTTAAGAGCTGGGAGTAAAATGTTTCTACCTTGGGTGACTCAAAAGATTATGAAGTGATATACTATCCTAAAAGAAATTTGAAAAAAGCATGCAGGAACAATAAGAAATGACTTTTTTTGAAAAAAAAAAGCAAATTATTGTTCCTGCATGCATATGAATTTTGATGTTTTTAATGTGTGTGTGTACCCACTTTGTATGGGTATATATTTTTATAAACATATAAAAATGTTCATATAAGAAGATTCACCCATAGCAAAGAAATTGACTGGTAGTTGCTTTCTGGAACAGAAGGATGAAAGATGTAGCAGGGAAGATGTGGAAGGAAAAAAAAAAGGGAAACCTACCATTGCAATTGTCTTATATGGTTCAAAGGAAATGTATTTTTAATTATTAGTAAGGTTATGGCTGGAAAAATATTTTTCTTTGCTCTACTTTTGTGTTGAAATATTGCCCTCAAACTTTCCACGATTTATTTATCTGCAGCATTCTACCTAGAGATTTTTTAGCATTTCAGTGAATCTGATCAAACGTCATTCAATAGGACCCGCTGAGTCTTTTGTGAATTTTGAGGGTGGGAAAGATAAACTGAAATCCTATTATTCAACTCACTGTACTGTGATGGCAGTTTTCTTTGAGCCTCTTGGCAATATAGCATTTCTTTTAAACTGTGCATTCCTCAAAATCCATTGAGAACCATTAGTTGTCTGGCAGGATATTTATAAAGGCAGCTTTAGCTCCATTCTTGAGTCAATATGTTTTCTTCTTATTGATGTTCAACCAAGCCAGTCACAGTGAAATACTTTTATATAATATCACTCTTTAGTATCTCATTAGTATTTCTACCACTGAGATAGATAGATACTGCACATAGCCATTAAGCTATTATTTTTCTGTATGAATAGGACTAGAAATAGTAAGCAAATAAGTAAAAGCATGAGGTAATAAAAAGAAAATAAAATTCTCATTCAACACTCATGTATTTTTAACCTGTATATTCTTGTTTTTTTACATATGAGCCTTAACAGCTCGTTTCTACTGCATTCACAATTTACTTTTATATTTTCCTGATTTATACAATTTTCATTTCCATATATCAAACTGAGCAGAAGCCTGCTTGTTGTACACACATATTTAAACTTTTTGAATAAACATTAATTTATGGAGTCCTTGGTGCTCTCTGAACTACATACATTCTCTTCTGTTGGAAATATTACAGAGTATTAGTAGAATTACTCATTCTACTGGCTTTCACATATTTTAAATATTTCTTCATCCAGTTTCCCTTATTTAGTGAATATTCTAGCAAAGTAGTTGAATTCATTGACTTAGTCCATTTTATTGCTATTTATAGTCCCCCATTTTTAAGCATATAATCACCAGTCATCATTACGAAGTATGAGAATTTGATGGAAGGCAATGGAGTTGACAGAACAGATTGATATATAGACGGTGCTGAGGTAATGTGACATGGTTATAAGGAAAGACCACACAATGTTGACACTGCTTCCAAATTACAGGAAATTATACTCCATTCTATTCTACACACAGTTCAGTTTGGAGCAGCAAATGTGAAGGATCCATACAAAATGCAATTTATGCAAAAAAGCTTAACAAGAGTGAGTGGGGGATTAGAAAGTATGTACTATTAGTAGAATAGAAGAAACTTGGTATGTTAAATTGTAAATATAGAGTGATATGACAGCATTCTTAAATAGCTGCAAGGATGCCCTAGATTACGTCAAGTTCAACTATCATCCCAAAATAAATTCTATGTTTCATTGGGCATATTCTGGCTGACATCTGTCACCAAGGAAGATGGTGAATTTCTCTTCTTTGGATGTGTTGGGGCGAAGGCTGGATAACCTTTTCTCATGGATGACCTAAGTTGAGAGCAACTGTGCAGAGCAGAGTTTGAATTCAGCTATATGACTATAAGAGGACTAGTAAAAGGTAGAAGAACATATTTAAAGTCTACAGAAGTGTTCAATTTTCATTTATGAGGTGTTTTACTGATAATTTGATTTACTCCCTGGAATATTACTGAAAATAAAAATGGTGTATTGAAGCTTCATAGCAATTTTTAGTCAACAGGAAGGATGCAAAATTAATTAGTAAATCAGGAACAGGAAATGTTCAACTTGGGGCCCAGTTTAGACATTCTGTATTTCCTTCTTTTGCTTTTTTTTAAAAAAATCCAAGACTAATCTTATCAAGCTAAAGATGCGAGTAGAGAAAGAATTGGAGATTATAGGCTAACTCCTCATCCTCTGCATCTTTTAAGGTAAAATTCCTCTGTCTCAACAGGAATATTTTTTCTCACTCATGAGGGAAAGATACAAGGATCCAATCAAAATGCAACTGAACTCTGAGGACAAGCAGAAGTAGAGAAACAGCTGCATTTTATGAAATAAATGAATGCTCTCTATTTGGTTTATTAGCTACAATAAAAAAGAAGCTTTATATCTGGCAATGAATCACACTGGAATGTGTGTTCACTGGCCTCCAAGGTAACAAAACAGGAATAAAATGGAGACGAAATGATATCTCAATAGTGCAGCTCTGAGTCAATATCCAGGCAGGATTTGACATGTTTTAAGAATAGTTCATAAAATTGAACAGCTAATTATTCCCACCTGTGTCATGAACCTGTAGAATGGCTTTTGGGCATGTAAGTTTCTCTTATCATTGGTGTTATTAAAATTGAAATGGCCGATCTATTATTTATTCTTCTGTAAAATGGAAATAGTGCATTAATTCACGCATTGCTGTAAATT